GATGAATTAGCCAGCAAGATAAACAGCGACAATAACTACAAAAAATTCAAGGACAATTTCAATGCTGAAATTCAAAAACAACAGGATGGAGCATCTGCTTATATGAAACTTGCTGATCTGGGAAAACCGGAGTTGATTGCTAGTAGTGATATAACTTCTAGTGCTAACGAAGCCTTAACTAGAAAACGAGCAATTAAAGATACTTTTAAAGCAATAAGAAGCAAAAAAGAAAAAGTTCTAACCCGTAAAAAAGCCGTAGTAGACTTAATTGAGGGATTAGTAACCGGTGATACAGGTGGCGGTGGCGGTGACAAATTGACCTGCCCGAATTGTAATCAAAAATTTGACGCACTTTCTTTTGAGTATAATGGAAAGAAATATCATAGCCAACAATGTGCGGATGAAGCCAAACAAAAAGAGAAGGACCAAGGTGGCGGAGGGCCAGACCAAAATCAAGGAATTGACCAAACCCGCACGGCCGCCATTCAAGACATTAATAATGCTCTGGGTGAAGATCCGAAAATCGCCACTAGTGATTTAGATTCCGATTTTCAAAATTGAGAAACCCAAATAAAGCAGTTGAATACTGAAAAAGATATTAATGACCTTCGTGATAAAGTATTAACTAACATTAAGAAAAAACGGAAAGAGAAGCAAACCGAGGAACAAATGAATAAAGAGGGAGAAGGAATCGATGAGGCAACCGGGCAGGATCTGATAAACAAAATTAAAGATGTTGAAAGTCATGAGGGTGCAAGAGCCTACGAGGAGCAATGAAAAAATATCATCGACCGGAATATTGACCGAGCCTTCCAAGAGAACGCAGAAAACACCAAAGAGTTAATTAAAGATATTGTTGAAGCCGCAATGACTAAACGTGGAGTTAGCGAGGACGAATTAGGGGCGGGAGAAAAAGAATTATTCACCAAGATAAAAAATAAAGAAATTAATGATAAGGACCAATTAAAAACTGCCAAAAATACTCTGGTGGAATTTATCGGTAACAAAGATGTTGAGAAAAGAATTGATAATTTACGGAAGGAAGTAGAAGCGGCTCGTAATTCGGATCAGAAAAATGCGGTCAGAGAGAAATTAAAAAAATTAAAGATAGAGGACAATATTTATGTCAAAAAGCGAGAAGCCGACATTGAAAAGCTACTGGAAAAATTAGAAAGTAATACGGATGATACTAGTGGCAATAATAAGCCGGGTATTCCATGAAAAGTAATTTTGCCGATAGTGGCTGTGGCGATTGTGATAATGGTTGGTGTGGTGCTGGTAATGAGAAAGAAAAAACAGAAAGAAATTAGAAATTTAGAGGATTAGTAGAGGTTTTTCTCAATTTTAATCAATAGACGCTAATTTTCGCAATAAAATTAATAATATATGCCCGACGACGAGAAAGAATTAGCCCATATTCGTAATATCGGTATCATGGCCCACATTGATGCTGGAAAAACTACTACTACTGAACGAATGCTTCACAAGAGTGGAGAAAAACATAAAGTTGGCGATGTTGATACTGGAGACACTACTACCGACTATGACTCACAAGAAAGAGAACGAGGAATAACCATTTACTCAGCGGCCGTTACTATCACTTGGCAAAGCCCGGACAACCCCCAAGTTCACCAAATTAATATCATTGATACTCCGGGCCACGTGGACTTCACGGCCGAAGTAGAAAGGTCGTTGCGAGTTTTAGATGGAGGAATAGTAGTGCTGGACGGCAAAAAGGGGGTTGAAGCCCAAACTGAAACTGTTTGACGTCAGGCCACCAAATATAAAATCCCTCGGTTAATTTTCGTTAACAAGATGGATGGGGTGGATAATGAAGAAAAATTTACTGATTGTCTCAAAAGCCTGCGAGACAAATTACGGGCAAAAACATTAGTAGTGCAATTTCCCATTGGAGCCGGCAAAGAATTAAAAGGGATAGTGGACGTGGTAAAACAAAAAGCCTATTATTTTCAACTAGGCGACCAGGCCGAAAATTACCACGCCGAGGAAATTCCCACTAATTTGATAGCCAGGACGCAACAATATCGGCAGGAATTAATTGAGAAGTTGGTTGAAGGAGAAATGGAAAGGATAAGCCAAGACTGTACTAAAAAGATTAAAAAAATCAATGAGGAAGCAGACCAGAAAATCAAAGAAGCAAAAAGTATTTCTGAAAACCCATCAGAAAAATTACTGGACCAAATAGAAAAAAAA